ACACACACACACACACACACACACACACACACACACACACACACACACACACACAGAGAGAGAGGCATGCACACACACACACAAGATGCACGGTGTTAAAAAAATATGACATCTCAATAATGTTTATACTGAATAAATGTCAAATGATAATAATTTGGATACGCTAGGCTAAATACATCATTCATATTAATGAAAGTGACCATGTTAGACTTTCCAGTCGTCTGCTTTGGCTGCTCTGCTCTGTTTCTTTTCTTTATTGAGACTAGAAAATTAAGTGTTTTAAATTGACATGCATAGCTCACATGATATCTCTACTGGGCAGTGCTGACCTCTCAGACCTCAGACTGGCAAACATGAACTTTTTTGTCATTTAGAAACTGAAGGTGCCCAACGAAATGCATGTTGTTCCAGAAAACATTTGTGAAAACACTTACAAGGAATAAAAGGGGTAAGAACAAAAGGTAATTAATTCAGGCTGTGGATGTTTGCTTAGTGACAGAATGGTGGTGGTGGTGGTGGTGGTGGTGGTGGTGGTGGTGGTGGTGTGGTGAATATTAAATTTGGACTTGTTTCCGGAAAGAATACTGATAAATATAATCACATGGTATCTTGGTCTCTTTTTTGCATAGCACTGAGGTCAGTATTCATGGCAACAATGATTTAGTGTTTCAATGATTTGAAACACTACATTGAAAAATTAGTGTTTCAATGTAGTAGAAATTAACTAATTTCTACTAGCTAGAAAGTACCTAGGTGTCTTTCAACAATGAAGTCATTTAAGGACTTGGAGATTTGAAGGGATAGTTTACTACAATCTCAAGGAAAGAAAATGAGTTTCATATAATTTCTGAAAGTGCTTAACCTTCCCTGGAAAAGAACAGACGAGATGGGGTTTATAACTAAAGTTATAACTAAACTTAAGGGGAGCCTCTTCCACTACTGAGCATCTTCTCTTGCAGAGGGAGACAGCAAGAGTGCCACCAAACACTGATGGGTGGGTCACCCAGTTCAGCTGCCTCTAGTGAAACAGAATCTCCAGAGCTCACCTCACAATCAGGCTGGACAAGCATTTTGCTTCTTTTACTGTGGCACCACTCACTAGTGTCCCCTGAGAGACCTGATTTATAAATCACCTGTGCAGAAATCATCAAGTTCCATACATTTGGCTCATGTTGTGATTCGCTTTTGATACATGATCTTGCTTTATAGCCCAAGCTGGCCTTGAACCCACATTCCTCCTGCCATAACACGCCACGTTCATGTGTCACCACACCAGCCTCAGCTTGCTAATCCTGACATGAATGAGACACTCTGACAATGTAAAACCATGGTCTTCCGTGGATGTTCTTGCTGCCCCTCGAATCACAGCAGCTTTAATATGCAAGAGTGTGAAATGAAATAAGTGCAGCTCTACCAAATAAACAAGCACTATTTTGCTCCTGAACAACATTGCATTTGCCCTACAATATGGATTTCAAAAGATAGATCAGACTACTAATAATAAAAAGACAAAGGTACCAGTAGCCAAGGTAACATATGTGGGTTTCCAGGTGTGAAGGAAGTCAGGATAGCAGAAAAATTTTCACTAAAGAAAGAGGAAAGGAAAGGAGAAGGAGGGGGAAGAGGGCAGTCAGAGACATGGCTGAGCTACACATATTACACTGTTAGATGATCTAAAGGTAATTAATAGTTAACAAAAACTATTTTTAAATAATTCAGAAAGAAACAATGTACCCCAAATATTAGTTTGTTTGTTTTTTCCCCAAAAGACCCAGTTTAGTTATTTATCTGAACTAAAATACCACAAGGAAGTTTACCAAAGTTGTTTTCTTTTTCCAAACTTGAAAGTAATATTTGGTTTGATTAGACATGAATTTTTAACAGCATAAAACTGAGGACAACTTACCTAAAATTGGTCATTATGTTTATTTTTTTCTTTTATGTGTATAAGGATTTTGTCTGCATGTATGTCTGTGTATCACTTATATGTCTGGTGCCTAAAGAGGGTGACAGTTCTCCTGGAACTAGAGTTACAGACAGTTGTGAGCTGCACTGGAGGGTGCTGGGACTTGAACCCAGGTCCTCTAGAAGAGCACTCAGTGTTCTTAACCACTGTGCCATCTCTCCAGCCCAAACTGTATAGGTTTTTAATTTTTAAAGTTTATTGACTAACGCTGGCAATAAGCTGGGCTTGTTGTGGTATAAGTAAGCAGAATCTAAAACACACCACCATGAGAACTAAAATACACTCTGAATACACAAAGTGGACATGCAGTCTGCAATAACTCACTGTTGCAATCAAAGGCTCTAAAGCAACATTCCAAAACACAACCAACAACGCTCAGATTCCAGGTTCTAGAGATTTCTACTTTTTGTATTGTACAAAGAATTCATTCAGTATTTTAATTTTTTATTTTATGTGCATTGGCATTTTGCCTGTGTATGCGTCTCTGTGAGGGTGCTGACTGCTCCAATATTTTTAATTTTTTTTTTATTTTATGTGCATTAGTGTTTTGCCTGTGTGTGTGTCTCTGTGAGGGTGCTGGATGGTCTGTAGCTGGAGTTACAGACAGTTGTGAGCCACCATGTGTGTGCTGGGAATTGAACCCAGGTCCTCTGGAAGAGCAGCCAGTGCTCTTAACTGCTGAACCATCTCTCCAGCCCTATCATTTGATATTTTTTAAAGAATCATAATTCATAAGATCTAACCACTGGGCGGTGCTTAAGTGAGACCAAATGCTTTTCTTTTTAGGAGTTCCTGGGGAAAATACAAAAGAACTCTCATCTAGACATGAGGGTGAGAGTAACACAAGGATTTATCAGCTGACAACCTGGTAGCTAAGTCCAATCAGGTGCTGTGGAGATAGGGAAGAACAAGCCCCATGGGCTGTCTGCTGCCCTAAGGCCTAGAGCCACCCAAAGTCTAATCAAATGCCAGGACTCAGACCACGTGACACAGAATCAGTCCTCCTTGAATCTAGAACATGTAACAAACCACTCCTACATTCTGGTGCTGCCCATGACTCTTGATGATAGTACTATTTGTTAAACACAGATGTCTTCATCCCCACAATATGTAATAAAATTAACAAACAAACAAAAAAACGACCCATCTATGTACAGATAATGTAATTCAAGTACGGGAAACTTGGACAGACCAGAAAGATAAAATGTAAACAAAGTAGAAAGCAAATGTTGTACTGACTCAGTCTCTAAAATTACTCAGCATCCTTAACTGGACTGTGCCAACTAAGACAAGCTTATGAGTCACCCTTCGGAGGGTGGTAAAATATAGTGCACCAAACTAAAAATAGGTAGGAACATTCAATAATAAATCTACTTCTTGATATTCTTATATCATTAAAGACTGGTCATTTGGAGACAGGTGGGGTTATGCAATTCTTCCTACCCTTCACAGACAGGCCGGAAGAAAATCAGCCAGGGTCAGTGCCAGGAGATAATGACTCATCTGGCATGGGGTGCAGTGTCGTGCAAAAGACTGACACTAAAAGCTGGGTACTCTGAGGGCACCTATCAGGAGGAGTAGGGGACACTGGTGCCTGGGAATCACTGAAAAATGACTTCTTGCCTCTTAAAGAAAGAAAGGGCAAGCAGTGCGATGTTGTAGCAATTATAAAAGAGCAATTTGATGAGGGCAGTCTCTCATCTAGGCTGGGATCTGGGATCTGGTACTAGTGTAAATCACTGACAGTATCCGTTTGTAAAGAAAACCAATTGGCCATACAAAGATAATTCTGATTATTTGGGTGCTTCGTGAAAGATTTATGGTAAAGTCAGAGGGGTATACAAGGAATTGACTGGCATCACTCCTACAGGCAGTTGCCCCAAAATAAAGGTTTCTCTCTATAATTTTTGATGATGGTTGAAATCTTCTAAACAAAACCTATACCAGACATAAAGTTACACAGCTTTCCTCTCAATGACACCAGATGCTTTCTAAGGCTAGGCATCACTGTCAAAAGCAGCAAGAATACAATGAGCAAAAGATTAGTGGCTGAGTCAGGAACCAATTTAGTGAGGCAAAACCTAGAAAATCCTGCTTGCCTCTCCACCACGCCAAGGAAAACTGGTCACGCATAACTTCTAAAAGACACTGGATGAAAAGATTTGTCTTGCGGGTCTCAAGTTCCAAAATGCCATTAATAGGATTCTTCCCCAGGAGTTACAGGGTGGGTACTCACCAGGCAGCTGGGAACAACAGCAAGGGATGTCTACCTGGTCAAACCCTGCACACAGTTCTCTGCAAAGAAAGGAGACACAGACAACACAAGAGTCAATGTGAAGTTCTTACAGAGTTCTCATGTAGATAAGCAGCAGTTTTTGGTATCAGAATCAGAATCTAGTGAATTCTTAAAGCACACCTGACGAGGGTGCATTAAATTACTAATGACACTAGATTTAGACAGTAAAGATTTCAAGTCATTAAATCAGAAATGTTTACTGCTACATGCTATATGGTTTTACACATGCTCTAAAATGGTGCTATCTCTCACCAAGCCTTTAATTTAGTAAACTAATTAAGCAGTAATTGAACAACAAGGCTATCTATGATCTTCACAAATAATTGGATTGTCTTCTCCTGATTAATAGGCAAATGACCATAGCAGACCTGCAATTGCAAGAAATCTTTCAGATGTCCTTGGATGAACTGTCATTGGAAGAAATACTTTCAGGCATTACAGTGCTGAACAGAACATATTTACAATGGAATTGTGTCTACAGATTTACAATGAATTGCACATATATGCAAAGGGCCATCTTTCTCTGTTTCCATATTTTCTTTATGAATAGGCTGTTTCCATCAAGTCTGAGTTTGGTGTTTGGGTTTTGGTTCAGCTAGAGTTTAATCTTAAGGCCTCTCCAATTTGTAGCAGGAAAAAATTCCAGGTGATATCAGAAGAAGTGGGGGTAAGAGGAAACCCTGGGAATATGGGATACAAGTAGAGATATAAAAACTGGTGACCAAGACTTGGCAAAACAGTGTCTGTGACAGTCTGAATCTGAAATCTTGACCACACCTTCTGAGGATGGAGTGTCTACATCATGGCAAGAAAGGACAGCAATAAGGACTGTTTGAAGATGGACAAACAATCTGTCTAGAGGGACAACTATGAATATAAATGCACAGGTCACAGGATTCATTTCAGGACAGTGAAGTAGTGTAGTGCACTTGTGACCCTATTTGTTGAAATGAACTTCCCTGGTCCATATGCAAATACCTGGTAGTGAAAATTATCTGAATCCATGACAAGAATCTAAACTTGAAAAAGTAGAGGAAGGGAAAGTAAAGAGGTGCCAAGGGATGGGGGGGGGCAAGACAGGGAAGAGTGAGCCTTTGGGTTTAAATTTAATATCAAATCATAGTAGGTTATTTTTACCAGAAGACATACCACTTTTAAATGGTAAAATCTGGCAGTGGAACCAGTATTTATCCTAGTGCATGAACGGGTTTTGGGAGGCCATTCCCTATGGAGGGTTACACTCTCAGCCTCGATACATGGGCAAGGGCCTAGGTCCTGCCCCAAATGATGTGACAGACTTTGATATTCCCAATGGGAGGACTCACCCTCTCTGGGGAGTCGATGGGGGTGGAGTCGGTGGGGGGCATGGAAGGACAGGAGGGATAGGGAACTGGGATTGGTATGTAAAATAAGATTGTTTTATAATTTAAATAGAAATTTATTTTAAAAAAAGAATTAGAGAATGTGAAGCACTGTATGTATGGAATTTACTGATTTAGTGAATATTTACTAAAAGCCGTACTGTAAGGATGAATGGAGTCATGAAGGTGCTGGCTGGTTTCATGTCAACTTGATGCAAACTGGAATCATTTGGGAAGAGGAAACCTCAATGAGATAATGCTCCCACCAGATCAGCCTGCAGGAAAGCCTGCAGTGCATTTTCCTGATTGATTATAGACCTGGAAAGATACAGTTCACAGTGGGTGGTGTTATCCCTGGGTAGATGGTTCTGGGCTCTATAAGAAAGGAGGTTGAACAAGACTTGGAAAGCAAAACAAGAAGCCTTCTTCCATGGCCTCTGCATTGGTTCTTGCCTCCTGCACAACTGAGTGATGGACTGTGATGTGGAAGTATAAGCAAAGTAAACCTGTTCCTCCCCAAGTCACGTATGGTCATAGTGTCTTATCACAGCAATGGAAAACCAAGATACAGATCTCACACATAACTCTGAAATGATGTGCTAAGTTGATTCCTATTTAATAAGAGAGAACTCAGAAGAAGAAATACTCAAGTATCCCACAAATATCAGGCTCTAGACAACACTGGCAGTGCTGAAACACGGCTACCCCTGATCAAGGTTAATCTTGATGGTGCTACCTCCCTCATGGAATGTACTGTTTGTTTTGTATTACATGTATGCTTGTAATTGTATATGAACATGAAACTGTAGCTGCCAGGAAGATGAGGATTATGTTTGTAATGAAAACCATCATCTACATCCCCTACACGTAGCATGGGTTCTGTTACTTAACAGGAGCTCAGAAAAAAAAAAAAAAAACTGTTGAATGGAATAAATAATTAAGTGGTCCACCCAGACCTGAGACATTAAACTTCATAACTCTATTCTGGTTCTTGGGGCTATGAAACAAGGCTGGGTTCTAACAAGCTCATCTATTAATTGCCCTGCCAGATCTATTATTCTGTAAACAGAGACTTACAGATTAGACACATGTATTTTGCCACCTTTCCTCTATTTCCCTTAGGACCCCAACATAGGAAAGGCAGCGCCTTAAACCCTTACAGACCATCCCCAAGCCCTTCCAGTACTAGCATGCCATGACCACATAATGGTCTGGGAGTGACAGAGAGCTCCATCTTCAGCTTACTCATTCAGAGACTAAAAAGCTGGGCACCAAAGGGCTACATGTGGTCTCTGGAAAAGGAACTGCTGTTAATGGGAAAGGGACCAGGGTAACATGATATCTGGACTGTCTGTGTGCCCTCTCTCTGTGATTTGTCCTTTCAAAAGAGAAAAAGTAACCATTTTCCCACAATGTAAGAGGGAACTTAACAGTTAATCAAAATGTCCAAATCCCAATACCATATTGAGCCCTGTAGAAAAAAACCTGATGTACATCAAATACTCAATAAGAAGAAACAAAAACAAGTGGACACACAGGCGAAACAAGAAAGGTGGCCTGCTACCTCACCACCACATACCAGACATGGCAGTCTATCAGAGGCACAAAAACACATTACCCCCCTGCTGCTTACCTCTGAGTCCCCACTCTTCTGGATCCTTGTGCCAAGCCCACTACATCAGCAAATCATGGAATTAGAGATCTCTAAATGCAAGCCTCTTCTGCAAGGCTTATGAGCATAAAAGGGAGGGAGGGAATCTACCTTCCCACTCCACCTATCCTGTTGCCACCATGCAGCAAATGCCTACCCAGAGAACCTCTAGCCTTCCAAATGCCCCTCCCTAAGTCTAAAACTGCCAGCCTGAGAAAACATCCTAAATGCTGCAAAGAAATGTAATTGCCCCTGCATCTGCCATTGGCGGTGGCTAACCACACTGAAATACAAAACTGGGAATTCTTCACAGGAGCCGCAGGAGGTATTTCATGGATGCTTTTTCTCTGAGACTTGAAATACTGGGAAGGGTTTTGCAATTCGCAAAATAGTCTTTTGCCAGGTTTCCTTCATATGTTCATTCTGTGTGGTTTTTTAACAAATTGCCACAAACACAGTGACTTTAAACACACTTATTAGTTCCTGGTTTGAGACACCATTACAGGGCCATATGTTTGGTATCTAACAAAGTTGGAATCTAGCTTCTTTCTTTCCAGATCTCCCCCCCTCTTTCTCTCCCTCTCCCCCTCCTCTCTCTCTCTCTCTCTCTCTCTCTCTCTCTCTCTCTCTCTCTCTGTCTGTGTGTCTCTCTCTGTCTCTCGTGACTGCATGCATGCAGAATTATGGAGGACATGTACACCAAGTTTGGGAGTCATGGGGCTTAGAATTTTGCCATTGCACCTTTGCCTGCCATACATCTACTGTCTATGCTCCTCAGGCTATGATAGAAAGCAATGTCACAAGAAAGGCTAACTGGCTGTCTTAGTTAGGGTTACTATTACTGATAAGAGACAAGACAGCCAAAAGCAACTTGAAGAGTAAAGGGTTTATTTTGCTCACAGTTCCATATAACAGTTCATCAAACAAACAAACAATAAAAGGGAGGGTAGGAACTCATGAAGGGCAGGAACCTGGAGGCAGGAGCTAATGCAGAGGCCATGGAGGAGTGCTACATGCTGGTTTGCTCTTCGTGGCTTGTCAGTCTGATTGTTTATAGAACCCAGGGCCATCAGTTCAGGGATGGCACCACCTACAATGGGCTAGGCCCTTCCCCACTGATCACAGACACGTTACTCAAAGTTGAAGTCAGAGGTCAGATCTTTAAACCTATTCCCATTCCTCCCCACCAGGAATGACCCCAACCTGAAGAAAACATGCACTGCACCAAGTTCTAATACAGGATATTGCTCTCCTTAATCTGAGATGTTCAGAAACTAGATGCCATAAAATTGACATTCTTTAAAAGAAGCATAGGAACACATAGAGAGAGAGAAATAAAAAAAAAAAAAAACGTGAATATACAAAGAAAGGAAAACATCTGTATGTGTGCAGAGGGGGGTACATTTGTTTTGTTAACATAGAATCCAAATAACAACATGGGCTTTATTTTTAATTAAATGTGATTATGATTATAAACCAATTTAACTACTCTTTCATTCAACTATGTTGGTTACTGGAAATTTCACAAAGACAACATATTTGCCACTATAATAATAAAGTGAAAGTACAAAGATATTTAAAAGTATGTTTCACATATTCATTAGCCCTTAGCATGGTTTTATTTAATGTGTATGTGTGTGAGAGAATGTGTGTGTGTGTGTGTGTGTTGGGGGGGGGTGGGTGTGGGTGTGGGTGTGTGTGCACACGTGCTTGCGTGGTCAGAATAGACTTTGGGTATCTTGACACTGGAGTGTTTCAGACACTTGTGATCTCATATGTAGGTACTGAGAACTGAACCTGGGTCCTCTGGAAGCGCAGAAACTGCTTTAAACCACCGAGCTATCTCCCCCAATGTTGGTCCAAACAAATCTCATCTTTCATACCTCCTTAGAGAGAAGGTAAAAATGCCCTGGGGTTCCTTTAACATTATAGAGAAGATCATGGACTTCCTCACGGTAAAGACAAAGAAGACTCCCAGTTTAGTAAT